GATGGATGGATGGATGGATGATGGTGGATATTGGATGAATCAAGATGATGGTTCATGTTGATTATGACAATGATGAAGATGGTGGATGATGGCAGATGCTAATCAGTGAGTCCATGGAAGAGTCAGTGGTTGATTGAATGGGGCTGGGGTAAATGGGTGCTCAGTCCATGGAAGAGTCAGTGGTTGATTGAATGGGGCTGGGGTAAATGGGTGCTCAGTGATGGGTGAGGAGGGAATGGTGAGAAGGGTCTGGGATGAAATGTTGCATGATGGATTCTAGATAGTTGGGTGGATGATGGATGAATGTTTGGATGGAACTACCGATGCCCACACCCATCATTGTCCTCTCTCTGTTGTTTCTGCAGGCAACCCAGAGGATCTGCCCCCATCCTCAAAGGACCCCACAGATGAGGCATCCACAACTGAGGCCCCTACAGCTCAGGACCACAAACCTGAGCATTCCCAAACTGAGGCCCCCTCAGCACAGGCAGTGTTGGGAGAGCTGAAGGTGTCCAGTATCACACCTGACTCTGTGCAGCTGCAGTGGAGCGTCCCAGAGGGCTCCTTTGACTCCTTCACACTGCAGTACCGGGACGCCCAGGGCCAGCCCCAGGCTCTGCCCATCGATGGCGGGTTGCACTCAGTGACAGTGCCAGGGCTGTCCCCTTCCCGGCGGTACCGCTTCCACCTCTATGGGCTGAGGGGTGGGAAGAAGACTGACCGTGTCTCCACTGACATCATCACAGCTGATGGGGAAGGTCAGAGGATTGAGGGCAGGTGGATGGATGGATGGATGGATGGATGGATGGATGGATGGATGGATCTTTGGATGCCCATGTCCATCATTATCCCCTTTCCACTGCAGCTGCAGCTGTGCCAGAGGAGCTGCCAGTGCCCTCAGAGGAGCCCCAGAATGAACAACACCAAACTAAGGCCCCATCTGCAACCACCCCAGCACGGGCAGTGGTGAAGGAACTGAGAGTCTCCAGTGTCACACCCGACTCTGTGGAGCTGCAGTGGAGAGTCCCTGAGGGCTCCTTTGACTCCTTCACGCTGCAGTACCGGGATGCCCAGGGCCAGCCCCAGGCCCTGCCCATTGATGGCGAGTCCCGCTCAGTGACAGTTCCGGGGCTGTCCCCTTCCCAGCGTTACCGCTTCCACCTCTATGGGCTGCGGGGCAGGAAGAGGGTCTACCATACCTCCACTGAAGCTGTTACCGGTGAGGGGAATGGTTAGAGCAGCAGATGGATCACAGTATGAATGGATTAAGAGATCATGGCCATCTCATCTCTACCTGCCATCTATTACCACAGATCCCAGCACAAGCCAATCAATCATCAACCCTTCTACCAACCTATTGACCAGCACCTGCCATCCTCCACCATCATTTTCATCATCCTCTTTATCTATCATCCATCATCATCACCATCATTATTATCATCTTCCATCATGATCATGATGATTGAAGAACTGAATGGTTGAATGGATTCTGGACTGGATTGTGAGTGGATTTCTTCCCAGGGTGATGGAAGAAGGTCAGAGATGGATGAGTGTTTGGATGGAACTGGGAAGTAGAGAGGGATGGTGCATTCCTGGTGGGTGGTTAGATGTCCTGAAGGATGGAAGATTGCCCATGGGAAATGGGTGATGGAAGAGGTGAAAGCTTGAGTGGATGTAGAGAGAATTGGAGAGATGATCGCAGGATTGTTTAGGGCATTGGGTTGGATGTTGGGTGAGATGGATGGAGACATCTGTCCCCATCCCGGCGGTACCGCTTCCACCTCTACGGGTTGCAAGGTGGGAAAAGGACTGACCACGTGTCCACTGATGTCGTGACAGGTGAGGGGGGCTCAGGCCCCATCTGCACCCATGGTGCATCGAAGCTCTCATATGGTCTTTCAAGCTTTGGGAGTCTGGGAAGTGCTTCTGGGACTTGAGATGGCGGTGGGAATGTGGAGGCCAGAGGGATGGAGAGTACAAGGATGTGTGGAGCCATGGAGAGATGGGGGATGATGGTTGATCATGGATGATTTATGATGGGTTATGGATAATGGGTTGTTGGTCAATAGGTAGGTGGAAAGATCATTGAACAGATGCTTCTGGGACCACTGGGATCCATCCATCCATCCATCCATCCATCCATCCATCCATCCATCCATCCATCCATCCACCCATCCATTTATTTTGTCTACCCAAACATTCCTCTGTCCATCCATTCATCACCCTTTCTAGTGTTCAACCAACACCCACAGCATCCATCTTCTGGTACCTATTTGGATACCCCTTCCTTCCTTCCTTCCTTCCTT